CATAAATCGATATTCATCGAATAAAACATGGCATAATCTAGTAATTCCATACAATCTCATAATTTTACATATCATTTGAAATGAATACTACCATATGCCATACAATGACTTCAAGAACCACCCCTTATATATGCTTTTTATTAAGATCATTCAACCTCAATTCTCATGTAAATGCAATCACCAACAATCATATACAAAATTAAGCCAAGTTTGACAAAATCATCAGTACATGAAGAGATCAGAGGAAGCCATGATTGGGTGGTTCATGTGGACCATGCTCCAATTAGGGCTCAACACGTCATCAAACCCACCAAGAACCATCTGGTCATCATCATACCCAACAAGTCCAGGGGCAAAACCGTCATTCTTGCTCATGCAGCAGCTGATGATATCATTCAGAGCTTGCAACCTATGGCTGAGCTCACCAATCTGAGCCCTCAGCACAGAGTTCTCAGACTCCATCTTCAAATAGTTATGCGTCGCGAAATTAACGTTGTTGAGGATGAGATCATTCTCGGCCCTTAGATTAGCTGTCTGCGTCTTAAGATCATCCAAGTGCTTCTGCTTTCTCATCCTCGATCTTCTTGCCGACTCGCGATTCGAAAGCATCCGTTTGCGCTTTCTTGAGTCGATCGTCGTGTGATTTTCTTCCGAGCATGATCCTGAAAGGGTTGCACTAGGGGAAGCCATGTGTGGTATATCTTTATTCAAAGTTACAATAATGCAAGAAAATTATATTAAGAAGTAATTTTACTAGATATATGATTATTGATATATAATCAAAGATGAGGTTAAAAAAAAAATGTAAGACTTATGTTCACAAGAATGCGTAAAACCAATGGAGGAAAACAATGGAGAATGATTGAACCAAGTGTGAACCACGATGAAGATGCGAATTAATGGTGAATCCCGAAAGAAGGATTTCGCTTAGTACGGGCGACATGACCGGTTTCGAATTTCTGGTGGCGGTACGAAATTTTCCGGCATGAAATTGCACCTTCTTAGTATGTTTCTTTTTTTTTTTTAATTAGGTGATGAAGAAAATGATCATGAAAATGGTAATGAAGGAAAGAAATTAATTATTTATGGAGAAAAAAAATGAAGGAGAAAATTTGATTATATGTGAATTGGATGGAAAGAAAGGCTGAAGCTGGTGTTGGAGGTGGAATTTATACATAATAAAAGGTAGAAAATAATAGGAAATGCGAAGGTTCTATTACGGAACCATTCCGTCGGGGTTTGTAACCGTTAAGTTATCATATAACTAGAAATAGTTGATATAACGGTTATAAACCCGATGTAATGGTTCCATAACGAAATACCTGTCTTCTGAAAAATAATAATAATGATGGAAGAAAATAATAATTGAAGGGAATAAAGTAACGTTTTTTTTTTTTTTTTT